TGCGATGTTCACTAACATGTAATTTTAGGCAAAGAAAAGGCCTGCTACCGACTTCATGGAAAGGGTCCAAAGAGATATCAATCCTAGCATGCGTGCAATTCTTATTGATTGGCTTGTTGAGGTAACATTTTTATACCTTCATGTTGAAGGCTTGATACTATCATCTTTAGGCATTGATCTGTTGATTTTAGATTTCAAAAAGTGCATTCATTATTGAAAATATTGAAACAATTCTTTATCTATTCAGAACGTGAATCTTGTTGTGTCTGACTACAACTTTGAACTATAGGTTTCTGAGGAATACAGGCTTATTCCAGACACATTATATATGACTGTCAACTATATAGATCGTTATTTGTCGGGAAACGTTATGGAGAGGCAAAAGTTGCAATTGCTAGGTGTCGCTTGTATGATGATTGCATCGTAAGACTCAGTATTTTGTCTATTTTCCTTTTTTCTTTCATACCTATCACTCTACATGATTTCTCTCTCTACTCTCTCTCTCTTCCTACATGTCTGTGTGCACACGCCCATTTGTACATATACACCTCTTTCCCTTTCTTGCGAAGCCCTAGAAAATCAATGCAATCGCTGTGGATATAAAATTCACGATATGAGGTTGTACATCGCAGCAAATATGAAGAAATTTGTGCACCTCAGGTGGAAGAGTTCTGCTACATAACCGATAACACATATTTTAAAGACGAGGTATGAGTTTATTTCTATGCAGTAGACATCCACTTTTAGATTTGAACTGTAACTAAGCAGTTCAAGCCCTGCATGCAGGTTTTGCAAATGGAGTCTGCTGTTCTGAATTTCTTGAAGTTTGAAATGACAGCCCCTACAACTAAATGTTTTTTGAGGTGATCATTGGATTTATATACGTCGGAAGGATTAAAGTTTAAGATGCTCTAGGTGTTGATTTTCTTTTCCCTTCTTGTAGGACATTTGTTCGTGCTGCACAAGGTGTTAATGAGGTATCATCTCATTTAATTATATGTAGAATAATTGCTTATGACAGTAGTAATCATTCTTATTTGCTTATTTCTGGTTTTCGTTATGTTCCAGTCTCCATCCCTGCACTTAGAGTGCCTGGCAAACTACATTGCAGAGCTGTCCCTTCTAGAGTACAATATGCTTTGTTTTGTCCCGTCCTTGATAGCAGCTTCATCGATTTTCTTAGCCAAATATATTCTTCTTCCTTCGAATAGGCCCTGGGTATGCTCTAGGATTTTGCTTGGTTTCTTAGATTTTTCTATAGTATTTCTGTTTTTCGTTTAAGTTTTCTTTGATCATAATTCGACTCTCGTGATGTTGATGCAGAATACGACCTTGCGACATTACACGCTTTATCAGCCCTCTGATTTACGAGACTGTGTTCTGGCATTACATGGCCTTTGCTGCAACAGCCACAACTCTAGTCTACCTGCAGTCCGGGAGAAATACAGTCAGCATAAGGTATGCAAAATTTCTTATCTAAGTCGAAAACATCGGAAGATTGTTCCAAAACTAGGATTTCTAAATCCCTGAAGTGGTCGTCCTGCTAGTTGAAAACCAAAGAAACACAATGCATATTTTTCTTCAAGCAAGTTTAAAGACTTAAGCGTGTATACGTTGCTCTGCCCTATTTGAACTAATGCGTTCCCGTTGTGAACCAGTACAAGTTTGTTGCAAAGAAGTACTGCCCTACATCAATACCTCGAGAATTCTTCAAGAACTTAAGCAGCTAGTCTTCTAGGTCAAGTAGCCATCCCAATGCTCCGTTAAATGGA